ATTTCTTTTTTTGTATTCATGGTGATAAGTATATCCCATTCAAACCTTTTTCAAAAAAGGCTTTTTCAAAAAAACAGAAGGCCTCCTTAATAAGTTGCTGGACTTATTACCAATACTCAGCCTTAAAAAGAAATTTATTGATACAAGAATGTTTTTATTCGTGTGGTTAGTGTGATGATCTTGAGATATCCGTGCTATTCATAAGAATGGCTCATAGGCCATGTCTGTCTCGGGAAAGTATTGCGCATTTTCATCGTACGATAAAAGAAAACATATACGAATGATGAAGTTTTGCTTTATTCGATAAAAGGAGACAATAGTGTTTCATAATCATTGAGCGCGTGTGTTTTCGTATTTAGCATAAAACTTCCAAACGTCTTGTTTTAGCATAACCTAAATCAGAGAAAAAAAATGGTAATCACATTCAAAATTTGTTTCTTACAAGGGAACCTTTTCAGATGTCAATCTCCGATTTCAAGAATCTTTTGCCCATAGATCCCATATAGTGGCCTAGTAAAAATCCTAAAAGGATTTGGGACCTTATTGCTTCATTTAAAAGTTATGAATTTTTCTATTTTGCCGATACAGTGCATTACATAAAACATTGAAAAATTCATAACTCAATGAAAACACGGTATGAAGGACTGAAAATTTTTTCTGTGAGATAGGATTGTATCGGCAAAATAGAAAAATTCATAACTTTTGAATGAAGCAATAGAATCCCAAATCCTTTTAGGGTTTTTGCTAGACCACTATATGTGATCTATGGGCAAAAGATCCTTGAAATCGGAGGCTGACATCTGAAAAGATTTCTACGTTAGTTTAGTATCAGCATCACGTTGTTTGCATAACTTTTACACACATCGTCTCTTCCACCTGCATTAGTTCTAGACGGTTCTCCCCTATTCTGTCTTGACAAAGTATCTCATCTGGGACTAGTATTAACTCTCAATTAGACTGAACACAGATTACATTTTTGTTAAGTGTTCCAAAATTATAGGTACTGTGAAATTGCTGAGTGATGTGATATCTTGAGAAGCCTTATGCTTAGTCTATAATGCCTTTGTTGTCTCTATAATTAATTATACCAGTGTCATTTATTCTGGTATCACATAAACTAATTTGAGACGTATATCCACTATCCAATAGAATTCAGTCTTGGCAATTACTGGTGGAATGAGACTGTCTTCAACCACAAAAGCATTAGTTGATGTTGGTTGGATTCTGATAGAAGAAACCTTCTTTATTCAGCGAATTTGTTTATTTCATAAAATTAAGCTTGGCAAAGCATTCCCTTCTCTTCAGTCTCTCATTCCAACTGATACTACATCACATACTTATCCACTAACGAGTAGAGTACAGCTGCTCAACAAATTCCAGTTCAGCGCCGTGGATTGATGATATATGAAAACTCTTCCATCATAGCAACTTGTAAGTTGTGGAATCAGCTTTCTCCTGCACTTCGCTTGATAACAAATTACACGAGATTTAGACTCAAATTGATGGAATTTAAAATAACTGAAGTATATGGTGAAATTAGACAATTGTATACCTAGATGTGAAGACAGATCTAACGAACTTCACATCGCTCGTTTAAGAATTGGATTCTCTCAATTGAATGCCGACTTATTTAGGTACATCCTTATTCCTGATCCATCATACACGTGCCGAGAGGATAAATCACAAAATCATTTTTTTCTGATCTCTAGGAAATACCATAAAGCTGGAAAGAAACTGATGAGTACTATTAATTCTATTTTGGGCACACAAATTATTCTCTCTCTTCACTTTCTACTCTTTGGTTTTAGGGGCTTGTCTATTGAATTTAAAGAAAGTAAAGTATTTATAAGGCTATTCTTAATTTCATCAGAGAGTCTAACCGCTTTGGGGCATAAATGATGTTACTTCTTTTACGTGAAAATTCTTTATACCTCACTCACGCGGTCGCCACAGAAAATCATCCTCAGCTCCTTCTCATCGCTGTAATCTATATTGCTTCTATACCGTTTTCACCTAGTAAAACTTTACTATTTTGTTTTTGTTCGGTATTTTTATTTATCTAGTTTTTTCTTTCTTTCTTGTCTCTTTTCTCTCTCCCAGTTTCATGCAATGGACACAGCCCGATTTGATTACTGTTTCTTCTATAATAAAGTTTAAACCAACGCTTAATAAAATTTCCTTTGAATCAACTGAGTTATTAGAACAAGAATTGTGCATTGTCCATAATTATCCACAAGGTTCACTGGAATTCATCTGATTATCAAAATAATGTGTTTTGATTTAAAGCTACTGTAGTGATGGGTTTCATTTTACTCTATTTACTCACTTTTCAATATCATTCGGCTGTTTGTCACTCTCTCATCCACTTCTAACTGATAAGAACAGAAAAACAGGATATCATTTTGATTTTTTTAACGATATTTCTACGTAAATATGCACTCCAAATATTAAACTAAGACCAGTGTTTTTGTAAAAGAAATGAAACGATTGATTGTTGTTGTGGGAGTGACTGGCCGCCAAGGTGGCAGTGTGGCTGAATCATTATTAGTTTCAAATGCATGGCGTGTGCGTGGTTTGTCTCGCGACGTCTCTTCGACTGCAAGCAAAGTAATATTATCATGAAATTTTGGTTTTCTCAAAATGATTTTCTTTTTGAATTTAGGAATTAGCTGCAAAAGGTATTGAAATGGTTCAGTGTGATATTAATAGCCGAGATGATTGTCTAAAAGCATTTCAAAATGCTTATGGTGTATTTGCAGTAACAAACTATTGGGATGTTAGTCTAAAACAAAATGTTGAACAAGAAAAACAACAAGGTATCAATATGGTCGAGGCTGCTCATGAAAATGGTTGCAAACATTTTATATGGAGTAGTTTACCAGATTGTCGCACAATTTCAAATGGTCAATTGCAAATGCCTCATTATATGGGAAAATATGAAATAGAAGAATATATTCGTCAAAAACATGGCAGTTTTTTCGATTATACAACGTTCATATATGTAGGATTTTACTATCAAAATTTTTTAACATTTTTTCAGCCGGATGTTATCGACAATAATCATATCGAATTTCGTTACCCATTAACTGATCAAGCGAAATTGCCATTATTTGATGTGAAAGACACGGGTAATGTTGTTGTAAGATGTTTTAATGAACCGGAAAAATGGGGTCAAAAACAAATTGTGCCTGTAGTTGCGAGAAATTTAACAATGAAAGATATATGTCAGAAAATTTCGAAAATAACTGGAAAAACAGTCACATACGTTCAATTAACATATGATGAATATATGAGAGAGAAGAATGTCACTTCAGAAACAATTGACAATATGAAATGGTACAATGATTATGCTCAAATTGAACAAAGATGGGCACACACAACTGCTCAGATATATCCAAATATGAAAACATTAGAAGAATGGATAGTTGAATCAAAATGGATGATGAATTAGATGAAATAGTTTTTAATTATATAACCACGTAGCTGAAAAAATGCACAATAATTCCAGATTGATAATTTTTTGAATGAAAAATAATTATATCTGTTTAGGAGCTTTTTGAGAAAACCAATGGAAAAGTTGTTTATTTATCTATCCGAGTACACACTAACATTTCTCGAAAAGACACAATATATGGTGATAATTGACCCCGCAATAGGAGCACAAACTTGAGCCAAATTGAATATTGTTCGAACAGATGGTGGACGTGTTGAGGAATTATTGAAAATGTGATTGATTACAACTGATAAATATTTATGAAAATGTAGGAAATTTATATGTGAATGATCATTCAAAGATAATTTAATTGAAATAAATCATTTCCTATTCGATACTGTAATTTGTCAGACTTCGGTCTACCTTTCCGGATGTAAATACTGAATTTATACATCCAATATGTTAGAAAATGTCGACGGCGAACCGCAATCATGCAATCTTGTTTCCCCCATGCGTTCGATCAAAGAAACTCTATAAAGGGTGGGCAGAATTACTGAAATGTTCCAGTAGTGTTTAGTAGTCAATTCGTTTCAATAATTTTGGTCTATCCATTACAGATATGTCACGGTTCTGTTGCTTAATCAGTAGAACAGAAAGTAGTCAGAACCGTTAGAGAAAAAACATATTTAGAATTCAAGATTTTGCCTTTTTTCTTTATCGAAAATACGAAAGGAAGTCTTGTAATGCTCACTATTCTCAAGACGTCTCTAAAAGTTCGGGTTTCACAAAATTTTTACTTAACATAAATGAACTATTAAAATTTTGTAACATACCGTCTAATTCATTTCTCTTAGAATAGAGATCTTAACACTAATAGAAGGAAAATGTAGTTATCTCAGCTGTTTTAAAAAGTGTTCCGTTTTATTTGTTTATATCTTTTTTCTATTCGGATATAAATGCAGATTTCATAGTGAATAAAAAGTTGTCGTCCATCCATATTATACAAGCCTATAATTTGTTATTCATGAACATATTACTTATAGTTTATCAAAATAATTTATCAGAATAAGCCACACTACAAATTCGTCATGTTTTATGATTTAACCATTCAGTGTATACTGTTGACTTTGCTTCAATAGATTTCTCGCTTAGAAATCATTCTGATCAGACAATACCATTTTGCAAGATTCATCTTCATATCTGCAACCGTGTACACATCGCCGTAACACAAAGCCGGGATACCGTCAACGTTTATTGTACGTAAACAGTAAATGAACCTATTCGAATTCTTATGTTCTCCAGTTTAATAAAGCCATGTCATCTCATTTCCTAAATAAAATTTTTGTTTATTATAATTTTTCATTTATTATTTAAAAAAACATCGCACAACAATGACAAAACATAGACACAAAAAAAAATGAAAGAAAACAAACAAATGCGCGTTTTTCAAACTTTACTTTCACAATAAAAAAGAGACGATTGTTATCACAGTTTTACAGTCGAGTAACATACAAAAGAGTCATTCTGCTGGTTTTATCAGAAAATTTAACACTCATTCGTTCATTAGCTAATTGAATTTGCATTTTGAAAAATCCATTTCTGGATGTTGTTCCATAAATCTAAACAGAAAAAGAATGTGAAATAGTTGAATAAAATAAACGAAAATCGTTATTATCTTTTATAATTTTCTATTGATTAGTAGCAACGAAAGAGATAATTGACGTCAATTTATAATTAACTATATCCTATTGTCAATATTATCAATTTATAATTAACTATATCCTATTGTCAATATTAAATTAAAATGTTATACTTTTTCAGTAAATCTTGTTTCTTTTGTTCGTCGCTCGTTGGAAGACCAGCATCTTTTCTATGTTGATCATACATCATCTTTTCAACCATACCACGAGTTTCACCATCCAAATCAGATAGCTAATTAAGAAAAAAAATGAAAAGATTTATCAAACAAATTTAAATATTTTAAAGAAAATATACTTTTGAATTTTCTGGTTGAACTTTTCTAGTATTTATTTCAGGATCTGTCACGACAATTCGACTCCACCATTCCATTTTATTTACCTATGAGAAATAAAGAAAAATATAAAAGTAAGATTTACTCAACAGCTTTCACCACTGAAATTAGAGCATTATCGTTGACGTACTTTCTCCAAATGCACAACAATAAGTTTTCCTTCATCTAGTGTCCACATTGATTCTTCGATTTTGATGTCAGCATATGTTTCAGCATCGATTATGGGCGTTTGACCGCGTACAGCTACATGAAGATGCTAGAAGGAATAATAAAACTGTCAGACTTTGAATATTTACATAAAGAATATTCTAACTGACCTTTCGTTCAAACTTGACAATAATATCTCTTGATTTCAATCGAGCACCGGTTTTCAATGGAATACGGATCTGAATAGAAAACATAATGTCTCCATTTCTTATCTTCATAAACGATCTATCTTCTCCTGTTAATTCAACACTTTTTACAGTTTTTTTGATGATAAACTCTTTTCAGTATGTACAACACGACAGTTATACGAACTCTGTTTTCGTTCAGGAAACTTCTGTTGTATACAGATCGCTTATATTATACTAAATCTTTGCGCGTTAACTGCTCGTGTCGAAATCGACAAGAAATTGTTGATTAGGTACAATTAATCAATCAATTAAGACTGCTTTTTAAATAGAATATTTTCACGATTAATCGCTGATTACTGACATCGAGATTAATTGTAAGTTAGCCGATTTTTGAGACATATGTGTACAACATTTCCTACTAGATCAGAGAGGAAAAATACAGAACTCAAGTTCTCTCTATGTGTCTATTCTATTGACCTCTACTAACATTTAATATTGTTATTTTTTATTCTAATCCTTGCAGTAGAAGATGACAATCCATCCAGTTACAAATATCGTCTTAGTAACTGATGTACAAGTTTTTAAAGCCAGATTAAAAATGTATCTTGAATCTTGTAATTAATTTCATCTACTCTAACTATATATCTGCATTTCTGTCTATTATTGTAATATTTTCTCGAAGTGCGCTCTGACAAATTTTTCATCTTTTTGTTATAATCCCTCGTACTTCAACATACGTTCTTGACATATTTGTCAATTTTCTTCTGTCTCAAAAAAATACAATAGAAATAAGAACAGTCTATTAGTGGACAACATCGTCTTGTACTTCTCTACCAGAGCTTTTATATTTTTAAAAATTTGAATAAGCGAATAATCGCGGGAGTGGAATAGATATTATTTAAACAATTCCTTTTTTTTTTGCGTTAGCGTGTGATCATGTAATCATGAGATATCAAAACACTGTGTTCTTCTCGAAGAGACTGGAACACATGATTAAAAGATGCATTCGATCAAATTTATAAGATATTCATTCAAACACTTACATCAATTTCGCTTAATGTCTGTACCCAACTATAATTTGGTAAATCACATCCATTTCCTGCATTCGGTTTTAATTTTCCCTTATCTTCATCTTTTTCATCGTCATCTTCACCTTCCGGTTTCTCAGATGTTTCATTGTCTTTCTAGAAATAATCAAAAAGTAGAAAATCGAAGAAAAAAAGTTTTTTATTGTACTTTTGTCTCTGTTTTTTCTTCTAATTTTTCTTCGATCGTTGTTGGTTTTTCTGTATCGGTATTGTTCACATCAGCATGATCGTCAACCGCATGTTTTTTCGTCTAAATATACAAACAGATTAAATAAAATAAGAAACGAGACAAAATAATAGAATATTTCAAATTGTAACACTCAAATTTAAAAGAAAAGGCTTAATTGTGTATTTACAAAAGATTATTGTTGTCTGAGAATTGAGAGTATATGCTAAGGATTAAAATGCGTACAAAAAAATAACTGCATCTGATCTTAAATAACTAAGAATAGAAAACAAGCCCTATTTGTATATACTTTTAATTTTTCATTTTCTTGTTGTATTTTCTCTGCTTCTTCATCAGTCACTTCAATAATTCTTGAATTTTCTACTTGTTTAGCACGTTCATCTTCTTCCTCACGTTTCCGTCGTAGTTTTTCACGTCGAATACGATCAGCCTAAAGTAACAAAAAGAAAAAAGCCATTTAGAACAAACAAAAAAATACAAAATTTAAATGTCTGAAAAACTTACTTCATCACGTTCTGCTTTTTCTTTTTTATGTTTTTCTTGTCCCAACTTTTCCCATTTTTTATAGGTATTTAACACTAATTGTTCCGGTTTAATTTCATGATTTGGAGATGTATAAAAATCAGTTTTACGAGCAAAAAATCCAAAGAATGTATCTAATAACTGAAAAAATACAAAAATAATGTTGTTGAACAGAGAAAGAGAGAGAAAAAAGATATGTTTACTTGCTGAATTCCACCCGTATGTTGTGAGGCGATATTCATCAATAACCCATCGAATTTTTCTTCTTCAGACATAATGATAATTTTAAGATTTTTTTTTATAATCCAAATAAGAATAAATTCAAGAATCTGAAAAAAACAGACAAAACTTCTGTGGAATATAGTAGTATTACAAAAACTAAACGAAAATAATGATAAATTCTTTCTACTATAACGCAATATGACAACTTCGTTTACTTACAAATAGTAATTCTTTCTTAATAAAACAGAAAACAATTACTGCCATGGAAACATGAAATATATCACAAGAGAAAAACTAATAAAAAACAGATGTTCAGTTTCGTGAAAAGAAAAGGGAAAGAAAGATCCTGCTTTCTCTCGTGCATATTATTGTGTGTATGTACAAACAATTTAAAAATAAACAATTGTTTTTCACTGTATTACTTTAGCAAGACAACAAACATGAGTTTATGTAAAACTGTAACTAATGAAACCCATCCCCGCCACCCCCCCCCTCACACACAAAAAACTTTAGTAAATACACATCTATTTATAACTATTCCAGTGGATAGAAAAGAAAAGAAAAAATATAAATAAATAAAGTGGAATGAAATCAGACATAGCCAAGGCTAAATGAATAATATTTTATGTCGACTAATATAAATTGCATAGTATATTCTGATCGAATTCATTTCATATTACACTATATTTTTAGAAGAATATCAAGTATAACAGATTTACTTGTCCGTAAGTTTCGTTTCGTATGGGAACATAGAATAAGAATAGATATAGTTTATCCGACCTGACTTGAGCTAAGAAACTGTGAATGAAGTTACATAAACTTTCAAGTTTTTCCAACACAATGATCTCTCACTTTCTTTTTGCATTATAAATTCTTTTGATAAAATTTCTATTTGGCTTAATTGATCTTTAATTTCCATTCGAAATGTGTTCTTCTGTTTATCTTATCGTCATCACTATAATCCAATGAAGCTAGCGATGAAGAAGAAGAAGAAACGATGGAAAGTTGGTCATCATCATTTCTAAACATTTTATTTCCTAATCCTCCGGCTAATGAACACCCTGAGAACGAATAATTTTTATCGATTGAATTTAGCGATGATTCGTAACTGCTACTATTATTTAATTTAAATAAGTTTGGATCACATGAATAACGCTCCTTTTTTATCGTTGGACTCAGTTCTTCGTATGATAAAGATCGTCGATGATGTTCATGTGCTGCTGATTTTGTTCTGCTTGAAAAACGATAAGGTGAAGACAAATTGGTACAATGTAAATGAAATGCTGATAAAGATAGACTAAGTTGATCTCGTTTATGTTTCTTGGGAAAACGAAGACTGCGTTTTTGTCCTTGTAATGTTTGACTAGCGAAGCTAACTATCGATTGTCGCCAACGGAGGGGAATTATTGAAGAATAACGGTCAGGATTATAAGCAGGAGTATTAGGTGTGATAGTTGTTGAAGTTGTACCTTCAACTAAAATAGAAATCTTTATTAGGGTGTCAAATATATCCTAAATATGGATATACTAAATATACCAATTTGATACTCTTGTTGATCTAATAATTCATATTCTTCTTGTTTATCTTTCAATTGTCGCTGTAATAACTGAAGTTTTTCAGACAGACTAATTTGTCGATGAATATTTTGTTGTAACACAACAAGTTTCAGCCGTGATTCATGACATATACGTTGTACAAGCGATTCATGATGATCATTTTCAACGGACATGTCATTTACACTTATTATTATAGTACCTGCTCGCAAGCCACTATTCCATGCTAAACTATCTTTTTGAACTGAATCTACGTATGTGCAGATGTGAATAGACGGAGTAGAGGTTATTCCTTCGGTGGTAACAGAGGAAGACTTTTCGCTCGACGTTGACGTGAATTCATCAGCTGATGGTATTGACAGCAGACTTAAACGAGCTAAATAAAAAAACTACTGCAAATATTGAAGAATTGAAAAGGATTTTCTAGTGCCAATCATTATTTCAAATTTTCTGTTCTTCCAGAAAAAGTATGCTTATGTATACACAAATCATACATTAAAGTGTTTTCGCCCGTAGTTTGAGCAATTCTCTTTTGTCTATAGGGCAGAACATGACTAACAAAATGCTGTATTACGTCTTGTTCACGTAACGGTGGCCTTTTCTTAATTTGCATAGAGTAAATGGATCATCTGATCCAATGTTCTTTTCTTCAGTTGTTTATCTCTGTTATTTTTACTTTTCCCTATTTCATTTTAGCTCGAGTCATTGATACTACATGTCGAAGATCTTTGATAACTCTCACTTCTCATGAATAAACAGAATATATATATACGTTATTATCTCGAGGAAAACTCATCTGGGTGAGCTTGTTTGATTACATTTTCAAGATAAGCGTCTGCTCCTCACAATCAAACATGCTGTGGCTAAGACACTGCATCACAATTATCCTACTAGGAACACTTTAGCATCAGGAAGATTAGCTTAGACAAATTAAATATATTCAGGTTCGAATCAAAAGGGGTGAGAATTCTATCGAATGAACGCACTTAGACGATACATGGCTCTAGTATACTCAAATGTATAACGACGCAAGTTGATTAATACCTAAATCTTGAACAGTTGCAAAGCCGTATGTTTGTATTGAAAATCCAAACGACTGATCAACATGAGTTTTTTCAATTAAGATGATTCGAGGACTATAGAGTTCATCGATATGATTAACATCGCGGGAAACTCGCCTGCGAATAGAACGTTCTTGAACCTGTCGAGGAGTTATTGATGAATGAAGCGGTTGTTTAGATGGCAAAGTGGAGATCTCTAACATTTGAGCAAAAAATGACTAAGACACAAGGAAAGACATAATAATAAATAGATAAATTAGAAAATATATAATTCTATTCGCACGTATCAATCAAGATGGTCAACGAAGGAAAAATATTCTCCAAACACAACCAAACGACAATGTATTGGTTTGAATTGTAAAATACTAATGCACTTGGTAATGATGACTAAGTAAAGTTCATTCATGACAAGAATTTATTGTTAATTCTAAAATTATAAAAAATTATTTTGAAAAACCTTTTTTCGATAGAGATGCAGTAAACTTCGATCCAACAATTTCCATAATGGAAAAGATAGAGACTCACTGACTCCCTGACATGACTGTTCAGTTACGATCTATACGTACGAGTCCCATTTTTTTAGTTGCTGTCCAGCCTGTGTTAAAGATGTTAGTAGTTTCAGCTGGCATCTTTCAATGGATGATTTGTAATTTAAACTAGGGGGTGGCGACATTTTGACTGCTTGTACTATTGAACACCAAATGTAAGCATGAGTTAAGAATAGGTTAGGGTACAAACATCGTGCTTTGTCCCAATCAATAGGGATCTTGCATCTTTAAGTTTCAGTTCATCGAATTCATAAATAGATAAACAGTCTAAATAAATTTTAGGATTTTAATCGAAAATACTCATGGTGATAAGCTATCTACCGTTCGTTCTGTTTATATTCTCTAGATCAACCACTCTCTCACTAAAGAAATTTTATTAAATAAAACAAGTAGCCAACAATGGAAAAGAATACGACTGGTGGAGTTATGGCACGTGTTGTCAAAATATTGGGAAGAACGGGCAGTCAAGGACAATGTACACAAGTGCGTGTGGAAATAATAGGTGCGTAAATGTGGTAGTAGTTTTTGGAACGATTCACATTAAGTTACTGAATAGGATTTTACCAAATGCACATCTGTGAGATGCGTCGAATGGAAGTTCTCTTTGATCTGCGGCATTAAAGAATAAAACAGTATTGAGGACCTGCGCTAAGGTTTCATTCTAATGATTAAAAAGGAAATTATGATAGTTACTTTGACAGGATTGCTGAACTATCCACACATTTAGGCGATTTATTGTGTTACTTTATGAGTTTTCTTCAATTTATCTGTTCTGTTTAGGGATGTGATCCATAGGCTCACCTTTCGTAGACCTAGACGTATTTGAGACAATGGCGCCAGCATGAATGAGTGCAGCTGACGATTCTATTTATTTTTTCCATTTTCTCATAATTTTTTGTTCTTTTTTGCGGAAAACATGAACAAAGCCTTGTACTTTGTGCTTTTGGATAGGGGCACGTACTAGTAGAAGGGTGTTACATGAATTTTGAGCGACGGTACGATTTTTGATAGATGAAATGATGGAGGTTGATCAATTTTTAATCTCGTTTTTTGAACTTGTTTTCGTTTCTGAAAACACAACTTTTGCCTTAACAACAAATATTCAAGCAATATTTCTAAAATTCTCGGTCAATTGAATGAATTAAGATCACCGTAAAATTGGTTTCGTTTCTTTGTTCTGTGTTGAGCTATATGAGACTCAGTACAATGAGTGTTCGATGGCATATGCAGCAGTGTATTACTACTGTCTTCTTGAGTCTTTGCAATATTCCCGCTGGCATACAGTTATTTAAAGAAGTTACCTACTTCATCCTTCGGCATTTCTTGTTTAGGATCTGAAAATCATCCAAAAACTGATAAAAATTTTTATTATTATTTCTATTTAGATACATCAACATCGAAACGAAGTATTATTCGTAACGTGAAGGGTCCAGTTCGTGTTGATGATGTGCTTGTTTTACTAGAATCAGAACGTGAAGCAAGAAGATTGAGATGAGAAAAAAACAAAAAGAAAATACAAACAACAACAAATAAAAAATGGCATGATATTCTTGTTTTTTTCATCTTTCTTTATTTATTCGTTTTGTTGTTGTTTTTTTTGTTAACCAAAAAAATGGAAATATGTTGTGTACCGTTGAAAAAAATAGAAGAACATGCCATTAATGAGGAATAAACACAAACAAATTACGAAGACAAATATACATGAAAAATTTCTGTGAAGTCGAATGCTTCCTACAGACACTTTTGCACGTACTGTTTTACAGACTGAAACAGAACAACGTATTACATAAACATATAGTGACTTTCGTTCACCAGTATGCGCCCGTTTTATTTATGTAATTTTTTTTATCATGCAACATCTTATTGGCTGTTTAATCAGTACCACTGAAAATATTGAATAATGTTGAGAACGCCGAGATAAATTTTGGTCGTCACTACAATCCTTTGAAGTCAAATTTAGGATGAAAAATTTTGATTGTTTCACTCTTGTAGAATAACTTTTAAAACTTCGTTCTAGACTTAAAAGACGCAGAATTTTGTTTAGCATTTTAATGATGTGCTTCGATTAGAATATATCGTTATGTTTCTTTAAAACTTCCGAAATAGTAAACTCCTCCCTCCCAAAACTATCCTATTTTCATTCCAGCAGGATTTTTTTCATTATAAGACTATGGTTTCTTGAATCGAGCATACTGACGTCGCGTACAAAGAATTTCTGATATTCTAGTCTGTAGAAAGAAAAGGACCTCGCTGTTTTTTCGTATAAATCGGCTCCTTTCAAACAGGAATGAAATACATACAGTTGGAGAAGGGAGGCAAAGGCGCATCCACTGATGTTTTTGTTTTTGGATTGGATCATTAAAAGAGGAAAAGTAGAGTTTCGAAGTATAGGCGTTCTGTAGGAAAATAGGTGTTTGTCATCTTAAAATTAATTTATCTCGTGTTTTAGAAATATTCCATCTCCAGTTTTGAGCGTAAAAACTGCGCCTTTGAATAAGATTCAGTTTTAGACAATAAAAATCGCATATTGTTTTTATCCTAACTGGTGAAAAAAATTGTTTTTCAAAAATATGACGGTTTTTTGCATCCATGAAAAATGTAAAATTCAATTTTTTTCACTCATTTTCTGCTTCTAATAAAAACTACTACCTTATTTGTAATCTACGAATAAATCCGCATCGAATAGGCTATTTTAGAATTATTCACTGCCTTACATCTAACACATATGGTAAACCACGAAGTTGAAAACTCTTTTGAGCCATCTTTTTGCAACTCAAGTGCATATTTGAGTACAAATGCGCTGAGTAAAAGACCAGGCATGACTCTTGTTTTGTAGAGTTTTTTTCTCCGCTACAAAAAAGCCTTATATTTCGATAGTTCTTATTCGAAACAGGAGGCTGTTTCTTTCACCATAGGTAAGCACCTTAGCAAAAACCAAGGAAACCCACGTATTTTACAGTTTTCACCATCAAACTTCCATTTTTTTGCAAAACGAATGGCATACTTGAAATCAGCATCAAAAAATGAATTGGCTGTGTAATTTCTACCGGAAAGGTGATTGTGTTACCGTTTTTAGGGAACTTCAAAACGTTATAACTTTCTGAGTACAAATTTTGGTTAAAAAGTTAAAAAGGTTGATAGTTACGAACTGGAATTCGATAAGCACTAATTAACATAGATAAATTTTAAGAAAATTCTCACATTGGTGCGTAGGCGATAGTCGAATCTAGCAGGCCAGTTAAGAATACTTTTGTCCGATAAAAAATGGTTAAAATTTGCCCAAAATACTGCAAAAGTTTTAAGAATTGGCTACAATCCCATAATACGCATAAACCACGAGACAACTATCTGAACTATTATTGTCCTTTTCAACTTTCGGTGCCGGTGGCTATGTTTTGAACAACTTTTGAACGAAAAGTGCTAGAGAGCTTCAATTTTCAGATTAGTACTTCCAGAAAATACTTCGGTTTTAGAAAGCTTTAGGAATAAGGGCATATTTTGTACTTGTTTCTACTACAGAATACGGTTAAACAGATAAAAATGGAGTACATGTTGATACGTTGAAGCAGTTGGGAACAAATTTAGTAAGTTATGAATTTTTTTTGGTTTTTGGTGCAAATGGTGAAAAATGGATTATGTCGTCTAGTACGGGTTTTCACTATATTTTTGAAGCTTTTTCGGAAATCAAACACTGCCACGCTGATCAGCGTGCCCGAAAACCTATGTACCATGTACTTTTTGAGGTTTCCAGAGTTTAGGTTTAGCTGGCAAAGATGTCCTCGGAGATTGTCTGTAGTGCCAGAACCACAGTGGATGGAGCCTTGGGACTCGCTCCAGATTGTGGAGCGACATCTGTTCTATATCCACATACTTTTAGAGCAGTACTTCGCTATAAGGAGTTTTGGGATGGCAGGCTTGGGCATTTTGTTTTGAAAGATACCTCATGGTAGAGTTGACTGATAAGACTTGTTTTAACATAGAATTATGTCCCCAGGTGTCCCCTTCCATAATCTGAAAACCGAAGGTCTCTGGCACTTTCCATTCAAAATTTATTCAAAAAATACCCACTGGCACCGTAATTTGAAAAGTACAGTGGTTTATTGCACGATTGTATTTGATGGGATTCTGCCGTTATATAGTATCGCTACTATAGCGTTGTTCGATCAAATTTTAGCGAAAACTGGCTCTGCGTAGAAACACAAAATATATAGATAGTTTCATTGACATTTTTATACTTTTTAACAAATGATCGTGATTCTCCTGTATCACTATACTAAACGAAAATAGTTTTGTTAATGTGAGAGAATAACCGCAATAAATACGAAACATCGGAACTCAAGGTAATTGCCTAGGTAGAGCAGAATATATATATATATATATACAATTCATAATGACTTTTGAATGAATTAAACGAACAACAGATGATATGTTTTTTAATGAATTTTTGAATACACCACCTTCTCTTCCTACGTTATTTCAACATACAATAAACAACGAGTAATATAAACAGAATGGAATAGCTTTTCTTTTTTTAACCGCAAAGAACAATTTATCGGACAAAATTAGACTATATACTTTGACGTTGAATGAACATTGATTAGTACGTTTCTCTCATACGATAAGTGGTTAGTAGTCTAGTAGTAACAGTTAAATATATTAAATCCGTTTTCTATTAACAAATACTCTTTACTTGTTTCTGTTTCAATCTGAGGTTTAAGATGTTTTAATAATATTTGTTTTTTTCATTATTAGTTAATGGCGTTAGTACAACGTTTTACGAGTACGGTTTCTGCTCAACATACAGCGGGTGGTACATATGATTTAATAAGTGGAGATGGTACAGCCAATGTCCTTAAGGATATTGCAACTGTACAAAATCGTGACCTAATGGAAAAACAACAGTTAAATTCGTTAAATGATCGTCTTGAAGATCTGATCGGCTATTTAGATGGTCTTGAAGCAGCTAATAAACAACTATCAGATGATATTCATTCCTTAATTGATAGCTGGGGTATAACTGGAGAAAATCGTTTTCGTTTATTACAAGATTTAGATCAAGTATTATCAAGATTGAAAGATACTAATCGAAATAAAATTATTCTTAATGTTGAGTCAAAAATATTTGATGAACAAGCGGAAATTCTAAATCGTATTAGTGCTATGTATATGGATGTATTAAATTTGTATCAGGAGAAATATAGCATTATCAAAGATCTACAAGGTGAATTAGAAGATGAATTTCGTAAAATTCAACATCGCTTACAATTGAGTGATGAACAAGTGAAAAAATTAGATCAAGATTATCGGGCAGAACTTGAAAAATTTCGTCAATATATGATTGAATGGTCAAAAATAGCCTTAGAAAAACAACAGATTGTAAACGAAATACAATCGCTGAAAGAACAATACAATTTAAAAATGGCCTTAAATCACGAAGAAATTTTAGAATGGCAACGATTATTACAACGTTTTTCACATGATTCTACAAACTATTATAAAGATTCTTTAGAAACAATTAAACAACAAATTTATAATGATTATGAACAAATGGCAAAAGAACAACATCTAGAGATAGAACAGACGCTAAAAACAAGACTATCAGAAATACAAGAAAAAGTTTCCAGGGGATTGCCCATGTCAGATCAAGGTAAACAAATCTTATCCTAATAGCTTCGATTGAAATAACCATGTATAAATCTAATGTTGAACTAGCCTATATGTGAGCGATCGCTTATACAACCATGAATCTACCGTAATTTTGAGCTTCTTTAAAGTCATTCGCATCCGTTCGTTGTAGTTGAAGTTGTTCAAAATGACTTTGTATATTAGATTTATTTTATTGTCAGTATGATATTTTTGTTAAATTAAGTTTCATCTCATAAATTTTCAATCTTTTGAATTATTCTCACTCTCGCTACCCTCATCTTCTTTCTCCTCATAAGAAGCGCAAAATTTATTCGATTTTGTTGATCTCAAAAAAACGTAACAATGAAAAGCATCAAAAATTGATCACTCAAATATCGGTTCACGCTCATCTTGAATCTGTGTATTACTTATGACCATTCTTCGAGAGACTTTGATGTTCATTGATCTATGAAAGATAAGAATCAGCAGTTTCTGAGTATTTTATCTTTTATCTCTTGTCTCTTCGAATGTTGGTAAGCAAAACATTTATATAATATCCTTCTTAGGCGAACAAAAACGCTTGGAGCAGTCGAATCGTTTTGAAAGTAAATTAGAAGAAAGTCAACATGAACACGATCATTGGAATAATGAATATCGACGTTTGTTAGAAGATACTCAGCGTAAACGTCGTCAACTACAAGATTTAGAGTCTGAACAAAATTCACAACAACAAAAAGATCACAATCAACACGAACGTTTAAAACAGACAACGAATACATTAAAAGAAGAATATTATCAAATGAAGGATGAATTAGATAGATTAGCGTATAGTCTTAGATTTAGTGTTGAAGAAGAACTAAAAATATACGAAGCTTTATTGAATTCATTACATCGGAAAAAAGATGAACGAATTAATCTTAATCAACGGCGAATAATAACTAGTGGTTCGACAACAATAGAACAACAAGAACATGATCGTAATATACCAACTATCAGGATTGAAGAGGTAAACCGTTCAGAACTATAATTTTAATTATTCAGATATCTCTTTCAAAAATTCGTTTTTCTTCTTCGATTTTTCTCTTTAGCCTAATGGTACTAACCGCTGGCAATTCGATACTCTTTCCAGACACAGCAGTACTCAAAGTGGTGATAAAGATCGTCTAGCATCAACGTCTTCGAATTATGCTGAACAGTATAAATCAAAAACGGATATGGAAAAATATGACTTCGAACAAAATATAACTGATAAAAATAAAACAACAACGACAACAGTTCGACAATTTATTCATGTAACACCACAACCTGTATCACATACTTTATCAGAAATCGACGAAGAGTTATTACAGAAAAAAGTTCATATAACAAGAAAATATAAAGGTAAGAATGGATTACTAGATGTGTTGTAACTGATCTCGATTTTTTAACGTTAAACAAAGAGACTAAAATTACCTACGTAGGCTTAATAAGGGAATCGCTTCAGGTGTTCAAAAGCTTTTCTAGTTAAATCTAGGCTTTGTGAAATAACTCTTGATGCTGATCACGAATCCAATGTTTCTTTGTGCCTTGATTGAGTTTCTGACCGAATCCTTAGAAGTCTCTCTAGAGACCCCACCTGAGGATCTGATCTAGCCAGTTTGTAGAACTCATCGAATGGTCTCTGCGGAGATGTTTTAGAACTATCAAAGAAGTTTTAATTGGGTTAGAAAAATATTAATCGCAAGTATAGCAAAATATCTGACTTTTTTTTCAGATTTTTTAATAGTAAATCTGCTCTAATGCAATTAAAAGTTCTTTGATGGTTCTAAAACATGTTCACAGAAGCCATTCAATGAGCTTGGCAAACTGGCGAGATCAAACTCTCTTGATTCTCAGATCCAGAATGGGTCTCTAGAGAGATCGGACTTCTAAGGGTCTCAGAAACCTAATAAAAGCACAAATGAACATCAGATTTGTGATCAGCATCAAGAGTTATTCCAGAAAAACTAGCTTTAAAGTAGACAAGCTTTGAAACCTTCTTTGTGGATGATAGTCAGATTAAGTGAAATTTTTATTATTTGTTTAGGAACTATATTAATTAAATTTGTTGATGTTAGTGGCCGATTTGTTGAAATTGAAAATATGGGTGATTATCCACGCGATTTGACCGATTGGTATATAATACGAGATGTGGACGGACGCCGTTTTGAATATAATTTTCCTGTTTATGAACTTGAACAACATACATCTGTTCGTATCTACGGAAATTATCATCGACCATCGAATGATATCACTAATGAACCTCAATTGATTACCAAATTTCATGATTGGGGAAATGGACGAAGTATGGAAACACGATTATATAGTAAAGATAATAAAGAAAAAGCATTCTTCGAACAAACAATTCGCGAATAATAAACAATATAGAATTCCATGAAAATTGATTATTTAAACTACATTTTGGTTTCAAAAGGCATTGAACTAGATAGCCACGTACAGTATTTGTAAAATACTAAACACAATGTCTTTCTTCAGCGTATCAGTATAGAAAGTCTGCTAAACTTGTTTATTTTGGTATATCATTGCATCGTTTTCGTTTTTTAACTCTATCATATTAGCTTCCTAAAATTTATTATAATACACTGTAGCTTGGTTAGACAATATTCTAATTTTATTCTCAATTCTAACTCACAGTGTCGATTAATAATCATATCTTTGAAATCCTAGAAAAAATAGAACAATCTGTATCAAACTGTCGATATTTTCCTGTAAATTCAAACTCTCAGCTTCAAACCCATTCAGGAAACAAAAAAAGCATCTAATGGTATGGTTATTGATCCATATTGAGCTGATAAATTTCTTACTATAAAAAAAATCAAAGAAGCAATTTTTGCTCTAGACAAAATAGTATTTTCATATTATATAAGATAAAGAGACTAATCCTATTCCCATAAGCAAAATCATGGATGTTGACGCATAAAAACTTTTATGGATCTTTGCACACATAGAAGAAACATTTCACGCTCAATCATGTATAAAAATAGAAAAATACGTGATTACAATAGGAATATGTTGACAAGTATGGACGACAAATTTATTCTACATTCACTTGTAAGCCTACATAGGTTCACATCGAGATAACGATTTGTTTATTAGAAAATCTCACGTTCAATCTAACTGACGAATGTTCTGAGAGAAAAAAAAGTATACTGAGTAGACTTAGATCAGAAAGATTGACACAGTAAGTTGGTGAAGTGAGAGTAGATGTGGTTGATAAAAGTACATAGAAAGCTGGATGAGAGATACCGTACGTATATTCCATTTAATAATCATTTCAGTTTTTTAATAATTCAAAACAATTCAAAATATTAAATAAAATAATTTAACATTTTTAATCGTTTATCTTTTATCGAGGTAATTTTAACAGAAGAACTTTGTGCTAGAAATGGTAGTTGATTAGGTAGTAGAAAGACTACTATATGTTCATCCAGTTGTTGTATGTCATTCGAAAGAAAGCTGTTCATTTCTTCAGCAAAGATTATAAACGAAACACACTGTTTTAAAATGCAGATACAGTATGTGATACAAGAATTAAGTAAATGTAAATATCTCAAGGGGGAAAAGGCGGATCCGGGATCCATGCGGATACAAACGGATGCGAATACAATTTTATTGAACTGAACTGTCCCAGAAATCTCTGTGGGAAAGAATTGCAAAAAAAAACACAGTTGTCTCGTTATTTTTCGGGAAATTTTTCCAATAAAAGAACCGGAGTGTTCTGTTTCAGGAACCGAAATGTTCTGTTTTGGGGACAGGATTGTCCTGTTTTAGCGGAAGAATATTGAGAGGGATCCGTGGGGATCTTGGTGGATCCACGCGAAATCCCGGGAATTTTCTCGATGTGCTACCTAAAAGAGGATGCCTTCAAACCCTTATACCCCAAATAGCAACCTGATTGGTTCAGTCGTTTCTGTTTAAGCCTGACCAATTTTCTCATACAACACGCCTATTCCAAGACAACCTAGGCAAACTTTATCTGCTACAAAAACGTGTCAATGTCCGTTAATTTTTAACGCGTTTCGCGATATCAATTTAAGCGTTAAAACGCGTTAAAAATTGAAATTTAAAAAAAGTTAAGTTTTTAAATGCAGAACTGGTCTGGCATTTTTTTAGAGGGTCTACATGCTCACTCAGAGAGTTCCCACTGCTCTCAAGTCTGTTCATAACAAGTGAAGAATGAAAGAAAACAAATATTGCTTACTTGGTTTGAGTGTGATTCAAACGTGGGTACCTAGAACTAAGAAGCAAACACACAATCCACAATCGCCTGAGGTACAGACGATTGGAGCATGAACCGCATCACAACAGTGTAATTTGTTCATTTGTAATCAGCCTAAACGCGATGGTGTTTGCTTCTTAATCTATTAGACCGCACATTTTTATAAGCTTAAAGCCATTTTCATGAACTTTATCATGATCGACACACAACGTTTGTTTCTTCCTTAATCATATTCCTCTGCAACTGACGATCAATCTTTTTCTTCTTCTCTCCAATTCTTCTTCCATTTTTGTATGTCTCTTTGTTAACTTTTCTACTCATCCGTTTATTAAGACTCTTTTCTAAATTGATACAATGTGATCCATTGGATCGCGATTTCGATCTGTATTAAGATTTTCTTTTTCAAAAATAAAGTTTATACCAACGTTTGTTTGTTTATTTATCCACTTCTTCTGCTTCATACTCATTTAAAGAAACGAAAGCGGTTTGGGTTTGTTTATTTACCGAAGATCTGTTAGAAATTTGTCTTAATCGTCGTCGTTTATTTGTTTTTTGAGGAGGAAAGCGGCGCTTTATGTCGTTAACTTTTTTACTTTCAACTTTTAACCATAGCAAAACAAGTTGAGTGAACGAAAGTTTTGAGAAGAAACGTGTTGTTATTAATGTTTAGTAAAATAACTTGGATTTTACCGCAGCTAAACGTGTTTGTTTGCATCTAGAATGCGTTCCCCTGCGACAATCTCGAAACGCGTTTACGCTTACGATATAACGCGTTCAGTTTCAAACGTTGAAAAAACATCGCTTCAAAACACGTTAATTGATAGTGCGTTGAAACACGTCATCTTCTAACGCATCCGAACGCGTTCACAATCCTTCAACGCAGAAAAACGTATCAACTCATACCTGCAACGCGATTCGATGTGTTCGTTTCTAACGCGTTTAAACGTAACAAAAGCTAACGCGTCAATTTATTGCAAAAAACGTCCTTCTAAGCGCGTTAAATTTAAACGCATTTGGACGCGTTTTACTTTAACCAATGCATTCAGCGGCTGCTAAAACGCGTCAGATGTGTCAATTAACGCGTTTATACGTGCGTTAACTTACAAAAAATGTTTGCCTGGGAACTATTTTTTTGATAACTTTTAATTCCGTGACGATTAGTACTAATTAATTACAAACTTCGTCAATGTGTCACACGACTCTTCCTTTGCCCACCTACATGACTTTGATCTTCATATCTGTGACGTTCATTAACCTAATAAGTCGAGCATAAAACGTATCATTTTTTTCAATTTTCCTATTTGACAGGAATAACTTGTTCATTTTAACTGGGAAAAAAAGAGTCAGTCCATTGAAATACATGAAGTTCTCAAAGAATAACCTATGCAGGCTTCTAACATACATTTAAACACAAATGAAAAAAATCTTCAGCATACCGTAATTGTGATCATATATGAAAGCTGTCTCTTAATTGTTAAAATGCATAAATATATCTAAAAAACATGATGCTATTCTCTATTCTATACTTTTTATTTAGTTTTTTTCTCTGTGTCCTCTATTGGTTTTTTGTCGCGTAGTTATGTGTTTGTGTTTGTGTCTGCTTAGTATTAGACTTATAGTAGCTTTAGTTATGATTTTTAGTCCTCTCTCCACTGTAAAAAATCATGTTCTTTGTGTTTTCAAAACTTACTGGAAATTGTATTGGGTAAAATAATTTATTTTTGATTATTTATTTTATCACAAAATTGAAATACACTTAACCAGATCCGTGGCTCGCTGATCAGCAAGTTCGGGTCGCAGTTTTATTCAATCATACAAAAATTGTAGCTAAAAAAACTAGTCTAAAACTCTATTACACGGTTAAACAGGAATAAGTTTGGGATTTTTTTAATTTAGTACCGATTGTTGGTAATTATATCGCTGTAAAATATGTGAAAAAGTAGTACATTAGAGTTAGACTACGCCGATAATCATAATTACTTTTTAAACAAGATTATAATTTAATCATAAATAAAAATTAATCGAGATTTCAAATGAATTGGACTGTCGGCTTACGTAGTAAATAAGTTCATTTTTTGTGCCAGTCAGATCAAAATGAATCCGGTAATTTTACTCACGAGGGAAGCACCCCAACTGATAAATCGCTTTTTCAACAAAACCGAGTGGACTATAGGTATTCGACGATGCTGATT